AAAACATTCTAGATAACCTGATGAGAAAAAAACCCTATTCATTGTTACGGGACATGAAGCATCTAAGCTATAGAAAAGGGGCACAGAGGATGCTGGTAATTCCCAACAGTTCCTGAGTCAACAGGTCAGATGTATTACAGTTTTTTTAGACATAACTTAGTGACTTTCAACGATTTGTTGTATTTTTATTTGCATTAAAAGTAAACCAAAGAAGCCTTACGAGGAATAAACATTTTATTGAAGTATCATTCTTTAGTTTGTAATCATTTAACATAATAATGTAACAACTAAACATTTGTAAGAAGGCTCGAGGACAAGCTATATTTTAAAGACTATGTTAGTGTTATTAACAATTGTATATAATTGTTAGGATTCTTTAGGCTAGGCACTCAGGTGCCTGAAATAGAGGCATTGTAACATCTTAGGTAATAGAGTAATTGCCCTGCTTGTCAAGGTAATAGCGTTCCCCAGTAATGATGCTGTGACTCAGTGCTGTGGAGGATGTGTTAATACATCAAGAACATAGTCCAACTGCCACCAATCCTTAAAGTTTCTCTGCTGTGGTAGCAGGTACAGCCAGTGCTTGAAAAACTCTTCATGATACTGCAGTCATAATTTCATTTTTGTGCATTTATGTATCGTTGCTAGAGGAAGCAAGAATGTAGAAGCAGCTCACATGTTCAAGTGTGCTGGACTTGGGACCAGAGAGATTGACCCTTTCTTGCTTTAATCAAATAACTTTGTAAATGAATAGATAACTATACTTTGTGTATCATGTGTTTTATATGTTGTTACAACAATAAATCTGCCATAACTGGCTACTTTGGAATACTCTCAAATCTCTCTGCAAGACTTAAAGTAGCCTTTAGAGTTGATGCTATGCATATGAGAGTCTTTACAGATACTGCATTGTATTATCTCTATTGCATCTAAAGAAATTCACAGTCAAAAACCTATTGAGAATATGGACTGATAGTTAAAAAAAAAACTACTATAAAATTAATTTTTATAATTAGCTAAAGTTATTAAACAATGTTGTGAGTTCATTAAGAAAAACTAAATTGCTAAAATCGTGAAATAAATCTATAGTGGTCAATCACCCTTAACTCCCTAGAAATTCTGTGTAGTAAGAGTAGTTTTAGGACTGTGGCCGTTAGTGCTTGTGATCCTAACTTAAAATAATTGCTCAATAAAACTTTTTTCTCATGCATCATCTATTTCCATATACAGAATAAGATTATTCAATATTTATGACAAAATTTAGCTCATAAAATGGATTAAAATCTGAAATATATTCCTACTGCTGGTAGGGAAATTTTTTCTTTTGCAGTTCCTGCATCTTTGTTTAGTTAATGGTGAATTAAATAGAGGAAGCTATTAGTAGCAAGGATTAAAATTAATGAAGTAGTAATTTATTAAGCTTTTATTGCACTCTAGGACCTATTTCAAAATCACTGTTTTTCCATTTAGCCAGTACATGTGATGGATGTCGTGTATGGAAATCCCCTTTACTAATAGAGTGGAAATACCTGCTTTTGTTCCACACTTTTTTCTTCTCCCTTACAGTATAAAGGAAAGTGTTGGAATTTGATGCCTTCAGCATCACTGAATTCAGGGTTTGACGTGAGAGCAAATTGCAAAATCAGAAAGCCTTCATAGGGAAGCCTTTCAACGAATAAAGCATAATTGCTGGCTTTCAAGCTGGAAGTAAATACCTAAAATCATCTAGGTAACATACTGATGACAATGATGCAATAGTTTGTGGCATGACCAAAGCGTCCAGTTATGTCTGGAAACACTGAAATCTGATGCAGTCTGTTGAGTGTTTCCTACAGTCACGCTGCTAAGGAAAGCTACAAAAGCTCATTGGGGATTTCCAAATGTTAAGAGGATAGCAGCAACAGCAGATGTTCAGTCTTGAGGGTCAGCTGTCTGACAGTGCTCAGAGAAGGAAAATTTCTGCAGATGACTTGCTAGATAGGTTTCTAGGACCAGCCAGAAAGAAAGGCAGCTGCTGGGATTCTCAAATAAGAGAATCTTTTTGCCTAAATGCTTAAATAAGAAAATATTTTTCATCAGTCACAAAGCATTTACGTTCTCTTTCCTGCCCTTCCTCTTGGACATAGGTTCCTTTGTTGAAACTCATCCAGAGTGCTTAAGATCTGGCAGCTCTGTCTTCTGGTACTTATCCAAACTAATTTCATGTAGATGTCAGGCTGGCAGTGCAGATCATGCCTGCCAAAATCTGTAAGCCTCTATATCCCTTTTTCCTCTCTAGAAAGCAGGGTTTGGGGTGGGAGTGAGGGAAGGGAGTCACAGGAAAAGGATGTTCCTGAGTACATACACCTTTGTCTAGATACCATAAATGCCTTTCTGTCCCCAAACCGCAGATGGCGTTCCATGTTCTCAGAATCCGACAGTTGCCATAGAAACCTGGATCAACTTCAACAAGGAGGAGCGAGCGGGCTTTTCGGAGACACTGCGATCGAGTCTGAAGGTATAAAAACCCCTTCTGTTCCGGGGTTGGTGTAGCACTTGCTGGTTTCACACTGCCCAAGGCAGGGTATTCTGCTCACAGGTGTGACTTGGAAGTCCCAAAACACAAATGCCATTGAAATTCATGGTGCTTGTGTGAGGAATACTTTCATTGTCATATATAGTAACCCACTAACAGCTTTTCTAATTTAACCTCAGGCTGCTTTCAGTAGTGATTAGAGCAATGCCACAAATAACTTTTTTCACCAGATGCTCAGTTACCAGAGAGACCATTCAGAAATCCTAATTGAGCATTCCCCTCATAACTCTACTCCGTCATTGATGTAACCAGCCCTTACCTAAACCACAGATACTTGAGTTCCAGTGAAGCCTGTTGCTATTTTACTATGTCAGATATGACTGGTATATTAAAAAGGCTTTGAGGCTTTGAATCCCCAACACTGTAAGGTGGCAGGACTTGGGAAGCAGGTCACACACCTCGGGCCCACAGGTGGGTCTAAAGCTGAAAAGTTGGATCTTAGGCGTCACTAATGTTTGTGTAAACAGGTCCAGTTCTGCTGACACACTCCTCCTTTCTCTCAGGTGATAGGAGAAAATGTTCACATCTACCTGATTGGAAAGGAGTCATCACGTACACATTCACTCGCTGTCTCTCTGCATTGTGCTGATGATGACTCCATAAGCGTGAGTGGCCAGAACAGCCTGTGTCACCAGATCACCGCAGCCTGCAAACATGGCAGTGACCTGTACGTCGTTGGTGGCTCCATTCCACGACGCATGTGGAAATGCAACAATGCAACCATAGACTGGGAATGGTGTGCTCCTCTGCCCCGTGACCGGCTCCAACACACCCTCGTCTCCGTGCCAAGCAAGGATGCAATATATTCACTGGGGGGGAAAACTCTGCAGGACACTCTCTCTAATGCTGTCATATATTACAGAGTACGAGACAATGTCTGGACAGAGACCAGCCAGTTGGAAGTGGCAGTTTCTGGAGCTGCAGGTGTAAACCTTAATGGTGTCATTTACCTGCTGGGTGGGGAGGAAAATGACTTGGACTTCTTCACCAAGCCCTCTCGGCTAATTCAGTGCTATGATACCAACACAGAGAAATGCCACGTGAAGCCATATGTACTGCCTTTTGCAGGCCGCATGCATGCTGCTGTACACAAGGATGTGGTGTTCATTGTAGCCGAGGGCGATTCACTGCTGTGCTATAATCCCCTTCTGGATAGCTTCACCCGGCTATGCCTGCCAGATGCCTGGAGCTCAGTACCATCCCTCTGGAAAATCGCCAGCTGCAATGGCAGCATCTATGTCTTTCGTGATCGCTATAAAAAGGGTGATGCAAATACTTTTAAACTTAACCCAGCCACCTCTGTTGTAACAGTTACAAGTGGCATCAAAGTGCTGCTCACTAACCTGCAGTTTGTCCTGGCCTAAGCAGGAAAAATAGGCCCAGTGATAGAAAGGGCAGCAATGGTATTCTGCTGTGCAGCTCAGAGGCACCTACCACCCTCAGCTCCAGTCCCGATTACTACGAGGTCACAATATCCAGTAAAGACGCCATCCTTTATACTGTGCAGAGGAAGTACAGGCTTTCTGGCTGTGGGCCTGTTCTGTTACATAGCGCTACTAAAGTTGAAAGGCTGCATCTTAGATTTCAGATGGACTAAATGCTATTACTTTGATCCCTTGATGATAAGCTGCTTGTGTTTGAGGCCCAAACTGCAGCAAATGGCCTTTTTAGGCAGGAACCAATCTGCCAATAACAAATCCTGTGGCATATGGACAACGTCCTCCTTGGCCCAGACTGCTGGTTTTAACTGCCTGGGAGACTGTGTGTTACAGCCATGTCAATCACAAAGTTAGACTGTGCACTGTGTCCTCCAGGGATGTCCCCTTTTAAACATTCCTGTGTCCCCATCACAGAAAGAGGCACTGGCAGGAATATTTACAGCAGATTCCAGAGCTGACCCCAAGTAGGTTGCGTTATTCAGCACTTCTCCTAGAGGAGTGGTAACAAACTGGAAACTTGCTTAGTGCTCTGTCATCACCTAGCATAAAGACAGAGATGGTTTTTATGAGCACTGGTTTCTTTTACTGTACAGGGAATCCCCACCTCTAATCATAATGTAGTGTTGATTAAAGACAGAATTAAGACCACTTCCTCCTACCCCTCTCTGTTGGCACTGTAACCCTTTGGGTAAGAATCTGAATAAAGTCTCTGCTGAGACAAAGTTTCCTTTCCCTTTGCTGCAACTATTACAGAACTTCCTGTGGATTGCAGGTCAGCTCAGCACTGATACTGTGTGTGTGAGAGAACTATGGGGCTCCAAGAAAATTAAGGTATTGGCCACAAGGAAAGAAGGTTTTAATGAAACTTTAATTTATGTAAAAACTTCTTTATTGGTGGTCAAGAAGTTCAATTAAAAGAAGTTCATTAAAACTCAAGTTTGTTTTAAAGCAGCCAAGACAAGAGATTTTGATAGACCTTACTGACACTATGCAGTTGTCCCAGCGATCACATTCCCGTGAAATGTCTCCAGGACCTGGACTTGCTTGTGCCGAATGAGGATGTGGGGACGGATCTTGGCAATAGCCTCTATTGCTTCCTGAGGGCTCCAGTGATGCAGCTGAAAAGGCAGAAACCCTGTAAGTGAAAATACACTCCCTCCCTGCACTAGTTAATAGAGCCTTCCTGGAGGCTACAGGCAACACTAGAGTTGTTTTGCCCCTTCTGTTTACTTGATGTTCCTCACAGAGGGGCCTGAACATCAATGCAAGTTCATGAAATGAGTCCCTCAGGTAAGAAGGGGTGATTACTGCTTGGGATCTCCATTTTCTGTCTCACTCACACTTCCATCATGTTGTGAACGGTTTCCTGTCCTAGTCCCACTAGACCAAAGCAAAAGTGCAGCTTGCTGCTTTGATTTTTTGGAAACCTTTATGAATATTCCCATCACACTTTAGCACTTAGAAAATTTTCCAGAGAACACTTGAAAACACCAGTAGTAAAATCCATATGTGGGATTTTGTTCTTAGTGCTGGGTCTTTAGAGGAACTCAGAAAACCAAAGTCACTTCTCTTGATCCTGATTTGCATTTATTGAAAAGCTTAGAAAGGTTCACCATTTCAACTAACCAAGGAGACTATCTGAAAAAAAATGGATGTTTAATCTGTTCAGTGAACCTACCCTCACAAGTGACTTGCTATTCCCATCTCAGTCTGTTTGTCCATAGAATTAAAACCAGCAGTATCATTCAAAACCTCCATTTGCCACATTCTACAAATCATCAGTCCAAGCTTGGACCTCTCCTAAACTGGGTCTCCAGTCCAAACTCTATAAAGTCATAGAATCTAGAGAGCAGGGAAGAAACGTAGTATGTGTAGGGCTGTAGACACGCATGTGCCTGTGTGCACATGTAATGGAGCATCTCTCGTGTGAGGAAAGGCTGAGAGAGTTGTGGTTGTTCAGCCTAGAGAAGAGAAAAGGTCTGAAAAGACCTTATTGTGACCTTTCAGTTCTTAAAAGGGGCCTATAAGAAAGATAGGGAGAGACTTTTTAGCAGGGCTTGTTGTGACAGGATGAGGGGTGATGGTTTGAAACTAGAAGAGGGGAGATTCAGACTGGATGTGAGATAAAAATTCCTTACAGTGAGGGTGGTAAAACACTGGCACAGGTTGCCCAGAGAGGTGGTGGATGCACCATCCCTGGAGACATTCAAGGCCAGGCTGGATGTGGTTCTGAGCAACCTGATCTAGTTGAAGATGTCCCTGCTCATTGCAGGGGGGTTGGACTAGATGCCCTTTGAAGGTCCCTTCTAACCCAAACTATTCTATGATTCTACGGTACATTAATGCACCTGCTTATTAATGGTCAGGCTTCTTAAGCAAAAGCAGACTGTAAAGGTTGGCTGTATTTGCCCAGACTGTATGAAAATAAACCCCATTTAGCACTGAATCCTTCTTACTTGAATTAAATACGCTGCCACCATGGTGGCACTGCGAGAGCGTCCTGCCTTGCAGTGCACATAGACACTGTGACCGCAGGCTCGGTGTTTCAGAATGAATTCAACACCCTTGTGGAGGTTTTCCAAGGTGGGGACTCCAGTTAGATCCACGGTGCTGAGACGCAGTTGCTCCACGCCCATTGCCTCCCATTCCTGAAATAGACATAGCAGAATTGATCAGTTAACTTTGGGGGTTTTGGTGGTTGTTATCTTCCAGAAAGAAGACCCAGAACCTGTTGAGACAGTTGGGGAATTCAGTAGGGTTGTAAGCTGACTTTGAATGTCAATACAAACCATTCCGTAGAATAGAACCATTCTATGATTCTGTGTATCCTTTAAATCAGATGTATGGAAACTTCAGAGATGGTTATCAGAAAGAAGTTAAAGGGAACTGAAAAGGTGTGGTTCAGCTGAAGGAAAGGAGGGGAGCTGGGATCTTGTCCCGAAGCAAAAGGTGTTCTTGTATGTGTATAGGGATGTACATGGATTCAATACTCCCCTCCCCTCACCGCCGCTGCAGCTCTAACACTTTCTTTCCATCCTCACGTTTTACTGGCCTCTCGCACAGTGTTAGAAGCCGGCTTAGGTACGAAGAAACCGCGTCTTTGCTGACAGGATCCCCGCTAAAGCCTGGCCAGCGCCGGGACGGGCGGAGCGACAAGAGACCCTGAGGGGCAATGGCAGCTCCCGGGCTCACCTGGGCGGAGCAGCAGAGAAAGCGGGTCTCGTACTCCTCGTTGAGGGTGACTACGGCGCGCACGTTCTCCTCCGCTACCA